CCTTCATCTGTCCATACCTCATACCTCCCCGGGGTTCTTTATCTGTCCATACCTCATACGTCCCGAGGGTCGTTCATCTGTCCATAACTCATACCTCGCTGGGGATCCTTCATCTGTCCATACCTCATACCTCCCGGGGGTTCTTCATCTGTCCATATCTCATACCTCACCGGGGGTCCTTCATCTCTCCATACCTCCCCAGGGGTCCTTCATCTGTCCATACCTCCCGGGGGTCCTTCATATGTCCATACCTCCCGGGGGTCCTTCATCTGTCCATACCTCATACCTCCCCGGGGGTCCTTCATCTGTCCATACCTCATACCTCCCGGGAATCGTTCATCTGTCCATACCTCATACCTCGCTGGGGATCCTTCATCTGTCCATACCGCCCGGAGGTCCTTCATCTGTCCATACCTCATACCTCCCCGGGGGTCCTTCATCTGTCCATATCTCATAGATCCCCGGGGGTCCTTCATCTGTCCATACCTCCCGGGGGTCCTTCATCTGTCCATACCTCATACCTCCCGGGGGTCCTTCATCTGTCCATACCTCATACCTCCAGGGGGTCCTTCATCTGTCCATACCTCATACCTCCAGGGGATCCTTCATCTGTCCATACCTCATACCTCCCAGGGGTCCTTCATCTGTCCATACCTCATACCTCCAGGGGATCCTTCATCTGTCCATACCTCATACCCTGCGCCCCTGCCGTCGTCTTCAGGCAGGAAATGCAGATCCGCTACCCTCGGATTATGCACTACGGTCGGGGCCTACGCCAAAGAACTTTATAAATAATTGCTTGCTGGGCTGTCAATAAATTAATGCTTTGTTGCATCTTTCTATCTCCCGAGTCTTTCTGGTAGAACGAAGGGGCCAACCCCTGAAAAACAACCCCACACCATAACCCCCCCTCCACCAAATTTTACACTTGGCACAATGCAGTCAGGCAAGTATTGTTCTCCTGGCAACCGCCAAACCCAGACTCGTCCATCGGATTGCGTCCAGCTATGTCCATCTTAAACCAGGGCAGAGCAGCTCAGGCTGGTTTAGCTGTTGTCTACAGCAGGCAGCAGCGTGTCTGTGTGTGTAAGTGTGTGAGTGTGTGTGTGTGTGTGTGTGTGTGTGTGTTGCTCGTACTCAATGAAGTACATCTCTCCGTTCTCCGTGAAGGCCGTCTCCCAGTTGTCCGGCAGCGGCCCGAGCGGGTCCAGGTCCGGAGGGAGTGGGGGGTGTGGCGTGTTGTTCAGCTCGTATGTGGGGGCGTTTTCTCTGTTTTCTCTGACCGGGCCGTGAGCGTCCGGCCGGCTGGAGTCTCCTGTGCACAGCAGGGGGGAGGGGAACAGACTACGAGCTAAGAACTCTGGGTAACATACAGGAGGCGGTGGGAGAGACAGAACACTATTTATACTTCTATACAAGAGAACAGTCACAAACAAAACACACACACAAACACACACACACACACACACACACACACACACACACACACACACACACACTCTCATTCACATTCACACACACACACACACACACACACACACTCACACACACCTGTAAATGTGTTGTTCATGTCTGCGCTGCTGTCTGCATCCTCCTGCAGTTCTGTCTGCTCTACTCCTTCATGCTGCATGCGATCGAAGGACTTCTGGGAACCAATGAAACCGTCTCGCAGAGCATCATGGGTAATCACTGTCCTACTGAGAGGCTGGTTTGGCGGCTTGGGTGTCCCATAATAGTTACCTAGACAACCAGAAACCCATTAGCATGCTTGAAAAGAAAGAGGGACAGAAAGCACTGCAGTGTGTGTTAGAGACATTTGTAAAACACACACACTCACTCTCAGCCCAATCCAGAAACACAGCAGAGCATGTGGTCTTTCCTCTAAAACTGACGCTAGGGATTATTTTAGTTTTTCTGCAGAAGTACACAGATATTCCTGTATGTTTGTCTCCACATTGTTTTGATACATGCCATATTGCTTATGGTTGCAGGGTAATACCATATTTGGGCATTTGCTGTTATTACCCTGGAATATGAACGTAAGAATTATTCCGTATGATATAACAGTCCCCTGGCATTACCCTCACCATAACAGCATGATCCCACTGACACACCATCATACATGCCGATCTCTAGCAGCCCACACTCAGTCACTCACTCACTCTCTCACTCACTCACTCACTCACTCACTCACTCACTCACTCACTCACTCACTCACGCTAACTCTCACACACACTCACACATACACACACTCACACTCACTCACACACAATCTCACTCACTCTCTCACCCAAACACACTTACACACACTCCCACTCAGTCTCACTCTCACACTCACTCAAACACACTTAAATCCACTCTCACGCTTACACTCACTCACTCACTCACTCACTCACACACTCACAATCAAACACACACACTCCCACTCACTCTCACTCTCTCACTCACTCTCATACACAATCAAACACACTCACATGCTCACTCACACTCTCACTCAAACACACTTACACACACTCCAACTCATTCTCACATCACTGTCCATCACTGACACTCACACACTCCAACACACTCGCGCTCACTCACACTCTCACGCTCACTCTCACTCCAACACACTCACTCCAACACACTCACTCTCACAAACTCACTCTCACAAACTCACTCTCCCACTCACACTCACTCTCACTCTCACTCTCACTCCACTCACACTCACTCTCACTCTCACACTCTCACTCACAGTCTTACTCAAACACACTCACACTCACTCTCACTCTCACTCTCACTCTCACTCTCACACTCACAGTCTTACTCAAACACACTCACACTCACACTCTCACTCACTCTCACTCAAATACACTCACTCACTCTCACGCAAACACACACTCCCACTCACTCTCACTCAAACACACTTACACACACTCCAACACACTCACACTCTCACTCAAACACACTCACACTCACGCTCACTCACTTTCACGCAAACACACACTCCCACTCACTCTCACTCAAACACACTCACACTCACGCTCACTCACTTTCACGCAAACACACACTCCCACTCACTCTCAATCAAACACACTTACACACACTCCAACTCACTCTCACTCTCACACTCTCACGCTCACTCTCACTCCAACACACTCACTCCAACACACTCACTCTCACAAACTCATTCTCACAAACTCACTCTCCCACTCACACTCACTCTCACTCTCACTCTCACTCCACTCACACTCACTCTCACTCTCACACTCTCACTCACAGTCTTACTCAAACACACTCACACTCACTCTCACTCACACTCTCACTCTCACTCTCACACTCAGTCTTACTCAAACACACTCACACTCTCACTCACTTACATTCACTCTCACTCAAATACACTCACTCACTCTCACGCAAACACACACTCCCACTCACTCTCACTCAAACACACTTACACACACTCCAACACACTCACACTCTCACTCAAACACACTCACACTCACGCTCACTCACTTTCACGCAAACACACACTCCCACTCACTCTCACTCAAACACACTTACACACACTCCAACTCACTCTCACTCTCACACTCACGCTCACTCACACTCTCACACTCAGTCTCACACTCAGTCTCACACTCAGTCTCACACTCAGTCTCACACTCACTCAAACACACTTACACACACTCCAACTCACTCACACTCACGCTCACGCTCACTCTCACTCACTCTCACTCTCACTCTCACACTCACTCTCACACACACTCTCACACACACTCTCACACTCACTTTCACACTCACTCTCACACACACACTCTCACACTCCCACTCACTCTCACTCAAACACACTCACACTCTCACTCACGCTCACTCACTCTCACGCAAACACACACTCCCACTCACTCTCACTCAAATACACTCACTCACTTTCACGCAAACACACACTCCCACTCACTCTCACTCAAACACACTTACACACACTACAACTCACTCTCACACTCACACTCACACTCACTCTCGCACTCGCACTCACTCTCACACTCACTCTCACACTCACTCTCACACTCACTCTCACACTCACTCTCACACTCACTCTCACACTCACACTAACACTCACACTCACTCTCGCACTCTCACTCACACTCACACTCACTCTCGCACTCACTCTCACACTCACACTCACACTCACACTCACACTCACTCTCGCACTCACTCTCGCACTCACTCTCGCACTCACTCTCGCACTCACTCACTCACACTCACTCTCACTCACTCTCACTCACTCTCACACTCACACTCACTCTCACACTCACTCTCGCACTCACTCTCGCACTCACTCTCACACTCACTCTCACACTCACACTCACACTCACTCTCACACTCACTCTCACACTCACACTCACTCTCACACTCACTCTCGCACTCTCACTCACTCTCACACTCACTCTCACACTCACTCTCACTCACTCTCACACTCACACTCACTCTCACACTCACTCTCACACTCACACTCACTCTCACACTCACACTCACACTCACACTCACTCTCACACTCACTCTCGCACTCACTCTCACACTCACTCGCACTCTCACTCACTCTCACACTCACACTCACTCTCGCACTCTCACTCACTCTCACACTCACACTCACTCTCACACTCACTCTCACACTCACTCTCACACTCACTCTCGCACTCACTCTCGCACTCACTCTCGCACTCACACTCACACTCACTCTCACACTCACTCACTCACTCACTCACTCACTCACATTCACTCTTTTTCTCTCTCTCACTCTAACTCAGTCTCACTCTCACTCTCTCACTCACTCACACTCTCTCTCACTCTCTCACTCACTCACACTCTCTCTCACACTCACAGCTGAAGCACTCACACACCATCATATGTCCCGATCTCTAGCAGTCCTCCACGCCGGTCCAGCTCCAGGAAATCCTCCACTGACAGGAAGTTGTAATCCACACCATGAAGCTCGCGGCCTCGAGGGCGACGGGTCGTACCTGCAGGAGCAACAAACACAAGAACTCCAGTCAAATCACCGACTCCAGAACTCGAGAGAACTCTGGAGAACTCGGTGGAATCATCACTTTCTGCTGCAAAATATCAGTAATAGAACTAAGTTCAGGCTCTTTCCCACTCCATCATAAATGAGTTGGTCTCAGAGCGTCAGACGAAACACAATAAATGCTGTCATGTTCTCTTGCGTTCTATTCTATTTGGGGGAAATCCCACAGCTGTGTGTAAATCCAACATGTTATTTTGTGTTTGGTTAAATACTTCATTACATATGAAAACGTAAAAACGTAATTGTTTATTGATAAATAAACCTATTAGATATCAAGCACAATTAATGAAAGGACAAACAATGTCTCCGTCTAAGGCTAGATTCGCCCTGCACACACACAGACGTCATCATGGCTGAATACACTCACACTCTTGTGTTGTTCTGGCAGTAATAAACCCCAGTAATAGAGTTACATCACATTCAAATACATTTTGATTCACTTCAACTGACAAGTCTTCAATCTGCTGCAACATGACAATAGAAAGAGAAGACATTAAGCTAAAGTCCACTATAGTGGACAGACATGTTTAAGTGAGCAACAACACATACCGAACCTCCCCAGCGGTGTGTGTGTGTTTCAGTACGGTCGTGTGCTGGAAATTACACTACACATCCTTCCAGCTGAGACTGACAACTGATGCTTTATTGAGAATCATCAATCCTCATCATCAAACACATGCTTGTAAAGCCTTGTAGATTATGAGCAGACAAAAAATAATCATGATAGAAACATGACTGTCCACTGATTTATCACTGCACCTTTAACCCTTCTGCACCACTACAGGAAAGTCATACTGGGGTTGGAAGTGTTTCACTAATACAGAATCAGATTCAGAAATATGTTAAATAGAAACAATTCTAGCTGTGAGACGAGCATGCAGATCACAAATGTCTGGACTCCTCCCACCGCCTACTCCAGCCAATCAGAGAGCAGCCACATTGTGCTGACCAATCACAGCACGTTCTCGCTTCAACCAGTCATGTGGTTCAGGGGGCGAGAACAGGGTCAAGGCCTGATAGTCTCGCGTAACCAGACCTTCAGACTGACGGCTGAAGGTCTGGAACTCATAGCAGCTTTCTTTGGCCAAGGCCCGCCCATAAGGCCGTTTGACCGACATGTCAAACAACCAATTACAGTTCGTTTCGTTCAGCGTCACGTGGAAATGTCCCCACAACAACAGACCGGCGTGCAACAAGTTAGTCAGCATAGAAAATCAAAGGAGGAGAAGAAAACCGAACACAATACTGAATCGGCCAGCTGTGATGTCAGCGTCTGTTGTTTCATGTTTGCCCGCAAACGCGGCTGATATCCCCTTCACAGTTAGGTATTTCACTTGATCTTCCATATAGATAGGAGGGGACACACAACTAGTAAAGTTGGATCTGCTGGGAATCCTTATAAATGCTGACAAAGGGTCGGCCAGGCTTGGAAAATAATACTCTTCCCAAATCCCGTCGGCAAACAGGCTAAAATATCTCTTTTTGTCTCCACTAAGTGCCTCAAACAAAACTCCTGGACATCTCTTAAAGAGTCTATGCCGTGAACCTCGCATACTTTTGAGAATCCTACGTTTAGCTGATCTTGATAAATGCTCATTGTCACTCATGTAAACACAACAGTTTTTCTTCCGCAATCACACGTCTGCGCTTTGTTTCCCGGCAGACCGAAAATAAACGCGACACTCGCGCCCCCCGGAAATCCGATCAAATTCAACCAATCAGATGACGACTTCGACATTCCTGAAGTGTTTCCAGTTAAGTGTACCATATGCATCAGACGTTTAGCCAACGTTCCGTGGGCGTGACGTCTGAGGCTGAGACTAAAGGCCTGATATCATAAGAACTATAATCTGTGCACACACACACACACACACACACACACACATAGAAAGCCTAACTGTGTCCCTCAGGGGCCTCCGTAGAACACGTTATTCTTTTCCCCTGCCTTTCCGAATCAGGTATTGGTCTCCGGGCTCATCCCAACATCTTAACTCGCACTACAGTCTCCTGCCACAACAGCTGTCATTCCTGCTTTACATCTACAGTTCAAATTAATAATCACTGGCATATTTCATATATCTTGAGCGTATGCTTCCCTCTGCTGGACAAACACAGAACACTATAGTCAAAGTCAGCAGGATATTAATCCCAGTTCAGTTAGTAACATGAAGCAAAACAAGAAAACTATCTAATGCAAGTGAAATCAAAATATGACTAATTTATGCAGTGATATTAGTGTTATTACTCGCTTATACACACAGCAGTTTGTGAAGAAAACAGCCTGAAATAACCCTGCATATAACCGTCGTCAGAACTGTAAGGTAGTTATGTGTGTTCACATGTGAAAAGAAATCAGAGCCAGTGAAACTGATGGAAACAAGACATTCACTGAAGCATTTCCTCACATCTGTGATGGAGTTCATAACCCTCAACGTAATCTCTGTACAGTAGCGTCGCAATACTGCGTAAACTCTGTACAGTAGCGTCGCAATACTGCGTAAATCTCTGTACAGTAGCGTCGCAATACTGCGTAATCTCTCTACAGTAGCGTCGCAATACTGCGTAAATCTCTGTACAGTAGCGTCGCAATACTGCGTTAATCTCTGTACAGTAGCGTCGCAATACTGCGTAAACTCTGTACAGTAGCGTCGCAATACTGCGTAAACTCTGTACAGTAGCGTCGCAATACTGCGGAATCTATGTACAGTAGCGTCGCAATACTGCGTAATCTCTGTACAGTACCGTCGCAATACTGCGTAAATCTCTGTACAGTAGCGTCGCAATACTGCGTAATCTCTGTACAGTAGCGTCGCAATACTGCGTAATCTCTGTACAGTAGTGTCGCAATACTGCGGAAATCTCTGTACAGTTGCGTCGCAATACTGCGGAAATCTCTGTCCAGTAGCATCGCAATACTGCGTAATCTCTGTACAGTAGCGTCGCAATACTGCGGAAATCTCTGTACAGTAGCGTCGCAATACTGCGGAAATCTCTGTACAGGAGCGTCGCAATACTGCGTAATCTCTGTACAGTAGCGTCGCAATACTGCGTAATCTCTGTACAGTAGCGTCGCAATACTGCGTAATCTCTGTACAGTAGCGTTGCAATACTGCGTAATCTCTGTTTAGTAGCGTCGCAATACTGTGTAATCTCTGTACAGTAGCGTCGCAATACTGCGTAATCTCTGTACAGTAGCGTCGCAATACTGCGGAAATCTCTGTACAGTAGCGTCGCAATACTGCGTAATCTCTGTTTAGTAGCGTCGCAATACTGCGGAAATCTGTGTTTAGTAGCGTCGCAATACTGTGTAATCTCTGTACAGTAGCGTCGCAATACTGCGGAAATCTCTGTACAGTAGCGTCGCAATACTGCGGAATCTCTGTACAGTAGCGTCGCAATACTGCGGAAATCTGTGTTTAGTAGCGTCGCAATACTGTGTAATCTCTGTACAGTAGCGTCGCAATACTGCGTAAACTCTGTACAGTAGCGTCGCAATACTGCGTAATCTCTGTACAGTAGCGTCGCAATACTGCGTAATCTCTGTACAGTAGCGTCGCAATACTGCGTAATCTCTGTACAGTAGCGTCGCAATACTGCGTAATCTCTGTACAGTAGCGTCGCAATACTGCGGAAATCTCTGTACAGTAGCGTCGCAATACTGCGTAAACTCTGTACAGTAGCGTCGCAAAACTGCGTAATCTCTGTACAGTAGCGTCGCAATACTGCGGAAATCTCTGTACAGTAGCGTCGCAATACTGCGTAATCTCTGTACAGTAGCGTCGCAATACTGCGGAAATCTCTGTACAGTAGCGTCGCAATACTGCGGAATCTCTGTACAGTAGCGTCGCAATACTGGGTAAACTCTGTACAGTAGCGTCGCAATACTGCGGAAATCTCTGTACAGTAGCGTCGCAATACTGCGTAAACCTCTGTACAGTAGCGTCGCAATACTGCGTAAACTCTGTACAGTAGCGTCGCAATACTGCGGAATCTATGTAAAGTAGCGTCGCAATACTGCGTAAACTGTACAGTAGCGTCGCAATACTGCGTAATCTCTGTACAGTAGCGTCGCAATACTGCGTAAACTGTACAGTAGCGTCGCAATACTGCGTAATCTCTGTACAGTAGCGTCGCAAAACTGCGTAAACTCTGTACAGTAGCGTCGCAATACTGCGGAAATCTCTGTACAGTAGCGTCGCAATACTGCGTAAACCTCTGTACAGTAGCGTCGCAATACTGCGTAAACTCTGTACAGTAGCGTCGCAATACTGCGTAAACTGTACAGTAGCGTCGCAATACTGCGTAATCTCTGTACAGTAGCGTCGCAATACTGCGTAAACTCTGTACAGTAGCGTCGCAATACTGCGTAAACTCTGTACAGTAGCGTCGCAAAACTGCGTAATCTCTGTACAGTAGCGTCGCAATACTGCGTAATCTCTGTACAGTAGCGTCGCAATACTGCGGAATCTATGTAAAGTAGCGTCGCAATACTGCGTAAACTGTACAGTAGCGTCGCAATACTGCGGAATCTATGTAAAGTAGCGTCGCAATACTGCGTAAACTGTACAATAGCGTCGCAATACTGCGTAATCTCTGTACAGTAGCGTCGCAATACTGCGTAAACTGTACAGTAGCGTCGCAATACTGCGTAATCTCTGTACAGTAGCGTCGCAAAACTGCGTAAACTGTACAGTAGCGTCGCAATACTGCGGAAATCTCTGTACAGTAGCGTCGCAATACTGCGGAAATCTCTGTACAGGAGCGTCGCAATACTGCGTAATCTCTGTACAGTAGCGTCGCAATACTGCGTAATCTCTGTACAGTAGCGTCGCAATACTGCGGAATCTATGTAAAGTAGCGTCGCAATACTGCGTAAACTGTACAGTAGCGTCGCAATACTGCGTAATCTCTGTACAGTAGCGTCGCAATACTGCG